GCCTCCTGGAGTTGGAGGAAGAACGCTTTGTCTATCAGCTCCTCTTGATCTGGCGGCCTGTAGTAGACACCAACCACTAGGTTCCCTTTGTTGCCTCTCTCTCTGATTCTTACCCATAAGCTTTCGACCTGCTCGTGGTTATTCTTCAGGGACAGCTCTTCACTCTGTAGTGTTTTCTTGATGTAAAAGGCAACATCCCCACCCCTCCTTCCTCACCTGTCCCTTCTGAACAGCCTGTAGCCATCAAGAGCCACATTCCAGTCGTGGGATTCATCCCACCAAGTTTCCGTGATGGCAATCAGGTCGTAGCTTTCCAGCAGCACGATTGCTTCCAGCTCCTCCTGTTTGTTTCCCATGCTGCGTGCATTTTGTAGGGGAAAGGTCAAGTTTAACATCCAGCTTTCTCATCCCACTTAGCCTCAAAATTAATATGACACACCTATTACCAAATTGCAGGGATTTAACTGAGGACTGCGGAAACAAACGTTTTCTGTGCTTTCTCCTTCTCCTCCAACTAATGCTTCAGTGTATGACTCATTGAACGCTTAGAAAACTGAAGATGAACAGACTTAACTTGGTTTGCCTATCCCTTTCACATAACCAGGGACAAGTGGTTTTGTTACACAGTACCTTGCTTGAAAATTTTCTTTGAAAGCCTCAGAGTTCCAGGTCAGCAGCCCTTGAAACTTCTGTAATGCAGTTAGCGTCCCCTGTTGTGTGTGAAGCATTAATAATTTGTACGGCTTCTTCTGTTGGCCAGAGGACAGAGAAACCCTCTGAAAGTCAGAGTGCACCAGGAGTCCTTCCTGTTACTCAGGTGGGAGCGCACAGCTGTAGCCACAAATTAATTATTTCTTTCAGGACTGAAAGGTTTTTGCAGGGGTTTGCTTGCTACTTTGGAAAGAACTTGGGAACTATGTGACCTCTGGGAACGTAGCTGATGCGATCATAAGCGGAAATATATAATTACAGGTTTCTGGTATATGTCCAAAATCCTTTTGTGAATAATGCTGAAAAAGGAGGCTTGTGATGAACATGGGGAGCGATTAAAACTTGTAGTTTGGAACCAGAAGCCTGTATACTATTAGATTTTTGTCCATGCTATGTGTCAGATAATTGACAAAAGAGGTACACGTGCAGTGAATTGCTGCATCTAGTTTCTCTGATTCCACAGGAGAGAATGAGTTTCTCAAGCAATACATATCAGAATATTTCAAACAATTATTTTAGCCTCCACCATACTCTGAATGCTTTCTATAAAAGCGGTCTTAGTCCAAGAAGAAATTTTTCCTGTACGTGGGCCTGTGTGTTAGTCTCACAGCCCATGTCAGCCCCACTTTGTCTGCACATTTTGGAAGTAGCTGCCCTTTTCTGTGCACCCTGATGATGTGAGTCTGCAACTGGTTCTGCACTGAAAGCTGTAACTGCTAATGCACTCCAGGTATCAGGAAAAGGGAGTATGTAAATATATTCTGATGTCAGATGCTGTATTAGAGCAGATTCCTGGCATTTGACTAGTCGTCTTGGTGACTAGCAGG